GCCTACAAATGTGCAGGCAGACTCCTTGAGCAGGCACACAATCAACCATTCTGAATGGAGGTTTCACCTGGACATCTTCCAGGAGATGTCACAGAGATTCGGTTGGCCGATCGTGGACCTATTTGCCTCCCCAGTGAATGCCCAAGTACCATGCTTCTTCACCAGATTCATGACCTCAGGATTGGAAGGGACCAATGCCCTGTGTTGCTCTTGGCCAAGCGGGCTTCTGTATGCCTTTCCACACCTTCCACTTATTCCCACTGTCATCAGGAAGGTCCTAGTGGAAAGGGCAGAGGTCCTGCTGGTAGCCCCTCACTGGCTCAGGTGTCCGTGGTACGTGGACCTGGTGAATCTCTCAGTGTCGCAGCCCTGGAGGATCCCTTGGGACAAAGTTTCCCTCAGGCAAGGGGTCCTGGTCCACCCAGAGCCTCAGTGGCTCCAGTTGACTGTCTGGCACTTGAGGAGAATCTCTTGAGGGAGGACAAATATTTCTCCAGGGTCATACAGACTATTCAGGCCTCCAGGAGGCCATCAACTACCCGGATTTACAGCGCCACCTGGAAGGCATTTGCCACTTGGTGCTTGACTAAGACCATTGACCCTATTGCAACTTCTGTGCCACAAGTCCTAGACTTTCTCCAGGACAGGCTGGATAGGGGTCTCTCACACCACACCATCTGCAGGCAAGTGGTGTCCCTCTCCATGGTGTTGACTGATGGGGAACAGGACCCCCTATCTCATCATCTGATGATTCAACAATTCATCAGAGGGGCAGCTAACTTGCGTCCAGGCCTGTGGTCCACTTGGCATCTGGCTCTGGTGCTGCCAGGCACTTACGTCTGCAGCACTTTTGCTTTTGAGCCGCTAAGGACTACTACTCTCCATTATATGACGCTTAAAGTTGTATTCCTAGTGGCCATAACATTGGCCAGATGTATTTTGGAGCTAATGGCCCTGTCAGTCAGAGACGACCTCTGCATATTCCATTCAGACAGAGTGGTTCTCAGATTAGACCCCTCTTTCATTCCGAAAATTAATACCTGGTTCCATCGGGGCCAGGAGATTGTCTTACCTAACTTTTGTCCAGGGCCTTCCCATGCCTTGAAAAGACAATGGCATACATTAGATGTTTGGAAGGCTCTACATATCTACATCAGGAGGGCAGCCAAAAATAGGAAAACAGAGCCCCTCTTTGTATCCTTTCAGCCTTCCTCCGTAGGCTCTAGAGCAGGGGTGAAATGCTCCTGGTTCGGACCGGATCGCCCAATCCAGTAGCGATGGCATTGGGTGGTTCGGAGAACCAGTAGCAGAAATCCCTGCCCCCCCCCATGCCCAGCTGAGCCATGTGATCATCAGAGTTTTTTTTTTTTTACTTTTAAAAGCATTTTTTCTACAAATGCTTTTAAAGGTTAAAAAAAAAAAAAGCCTCTCATGATCGTGCGGCTCAGTTGGGATCATCAGAGCCTTTTAAAAGCATTTTTTTTCTACAACTTCTTTGGCTGAAGAGGTTGTAGAAAAAATGCTTTTAAAAGTAAAAAAACAAAAAAAAGTTGGCCATGCCCACCCAGTCACATTACCCCCCACCAACCCATGCCCACAGAACCGGTAGTAACAAATTTTACATTTCACCACTGCTCTAGAGTCACCCCATTGACTGTTGGCAGATGGTTAAGAGCCTGCAAAGCCACAGCCTACCAGTCTAAGGCTCTCCCTTTACCTGGACAGGTAACAGCACACTCAACTAGGAGTGCAGCCACTACGGCGGCTTGGGCTACCCAAACCTCCATTGAGGAAATTTGCAGGGTGGCTACCTGGGCTTCTCCTTCACCATTTATTAGGCACTATAAGTTAGACTCCTTTGCATTTGTCCACACAGCCTTCAAGAGAAGGGTCTTTCAAAAGGTGCATTCCACAGGGAGGACTCCGACCCAGACGTCTTCCCGTCCTTGAGACAGTAGGCTTTGGTAAATCCCATCTTGGACTCTCCCACTATCACACTGGAAAAGGAACGTTGGTCTTACCTGAGATGTTCCTTCTCTGTGGGATAGTGGGAAGGTCCTAACCCACCCTTACTGACTGACTGGGTGGGGGTCAAGGGTGATTAATCCCTCTTTTCACAGCCACGCCATTGTTGAAACTGGAGCCAGAGAGAGAGAGGCACCTGGGTGTGGCTTCAAAGTTTCACTCAGTCTCTGGGCAGAAAGGACATCATAGAACCCATTCTTGGACCCTCCCACTATCCCACAGAGAAGGAACATCTCAGGTAAGACCGTCCCTTCTCTTCTAAAAAAGGTACTTGGAATGACAATCATAGAATAATCTTGGGATTCTATCTTGCTTTAAACCAGTGGTGAAATCTAAAATTTGTTACTACCGGTTCTGTGGGCGTGGCTTGGGGGGGTAATGTGACTGGGTAGGTGTGGCCAATTTTTTTTTTTTTTACTTTTAAAACCATTTTTTCTACAACCGCTTCAGCGAAGAGGTTGTAAAAAAATGCTTTCAAAAAGCTCTGACGATCCCAGCTTGAGTTGCCTGCTCAGCTTGGATCATGAGAGGGTTTTTTTTCTTTTAAATGCCTCTGACGATCCCAGCTGATCTGCACAATCATCAGAGGTTGTTTTTTTTTTTTTACTTTTAAAAGCATTTTTCTACCAAAGAGTTTGTAGAAAAAATGCTTTTAAAAGTAAAAAAAAAAAAAAAAAAAGCCTCTGATGATTGTGCGGCTCAGCTGGGCATGGGGGGGGGGGCAGGGATTTTTGCTACCGATTATCTGAACCACCTGCCTCCATCGCTACCAGATCAGGCGATCCAGTCCGAACCAGGAGCATTTCACCCATGCTTTAAACCTGTTCCAAACCTTCAATATGGCATGCCTAACAAAATGATTTTGAAAATGTATATATATTAGTCTTAACTTTGTGTTACATTAGATAGACAGGCCACCTAAATCTCAAATAATGTCCTTTCAACTCAAATAATCTCCTATTTCTCAGAGTCACCAATCTTCCATCCATATCAAACCACAAGAAATAACATTAAAATATTTCTGTGGAACAGAAAGCTCTCAAAAATCTCTTCAGCTTCCAGTTGACAGCTTGCTCTATATTTACAGTTATGATAATTTACAAATGCTAATGGATGACACCTTTTCAACTATTGGGTGCCTACAAGTGTTCCAAGTGGGAGTGATGAAGTCTGAATTTTCCATCAGTTACATTACATTTTACATTAATGCAGCAATTCTGAAAGGGCTTGTAGAAATAACGCCTGTGAAGTAAAAAAAAAAAGTTTTTAAAAAAATAAAACTTGAGAATTTGATAATAAAAATGATAAATTAGGACTTAGAGAACTATATACTGTGGAATTCAAACTGTTCCAAGTGAATTGCTTTCAGCAAATCAAAGAAAATCTGAAGCTTATAAATTTGACAGCTTTCTGAATTACAAGGCCACCTGCAAACATGGCTCATTTCCATTTTCAGAATCTGATAACAAGATAAAAGTGTAAATGGGGTTTGCATGACAGGAAGCCAGATGCTTTTTTACATCTTTTCCCCATCCTTTGGAAGAAAAAATAAACCCTCTGGTTTGGATCTCTGAAGTCTGAGTACCCAAAGTGAAAAAGTTAGCTTCACCTACATTCTTGCCCAAAATCTTGTCCTATTAAATTAACTGTGCAGTACTTTGCAGGTCTCTTCATCATTATTTACCTCTTACTAAGTCCATAAAGAATTTTTATTTTGTGCATTATTGAAGAGGATAGAGAATCAAATGAATTTATGAATTATTATTCTTAGCAGCTAGTTTTGCGTTCATTCTGTCAGTTTTCTATGCTTTTAAAGACTGGGAACAGGCTACAATTAGCAATATAAAATGAAAACATAAAAATCAATAACATCCCTATAAGAAGAAGATGATGTCACAAAATAGGCAGCAAAATGATCAAGTCTCCCCTAGTAGCTCATAACTTTTCAAAAATATAATACCTGGGGTTTTAATGTTCCAAGGCAGAAGACCCCTACTAAGAACTTTGAGTATAGAGCCTCTTTACATGGCTCCATTGTTGTTAACTAGTGTTACATCTACTACTGTGTGTTGAATCAAAAGGTTTCCATACAATTTTCAAGGGCTGACTGACATAAAACAAACTTTGGTGGTCTAGTCATTAGATGACAAGATCACAACCTAGAGAAAACTTTTTTTTTCATAGTCACAACTGATACACAACATGTGACTGTGAAAAGATCAAAGTCTCTATCTGCTATTCATGCATAAATTGTGAGTCCAGGGGGATACTCAGATGTTTCATTAAAGTTCATTTAATGTCCAACATTAAATGACTTTTGGAAATAGTTGCTGTGCTTACTATATGGAATTAAGTCTATGCTTGTTTCTCCCTGTCTGGACCTAAAGATCTCCAGGCATTGGATCAGGGCTTCCAAATGCTCCTCTTGCCCATCCCATATTGATAATACTTCATTCCATCCCAACAGCTGTGTGATGGAAAGTGTAGCTGAAGAAGGAATGGGAGCAGGAGGAAGTTGCCAGTAGCACCGTGGCTTCCAAGGCAGGAGATAGCACATTCCAGAGATTATTCCAAGACAAGAGACTGTGCAGTTGTGAACTGGATGGGGAGGGAGGAATAATTTCAGGGTAGTTGCACCTGTTTCCCAAAGTATGTATGTATGTATGGCCAGATCAGTTAATTCTACTTTATTGTAAAGCAATTTTTTTATTAAAAAAAGACTGTTTTTAATCTTGTAATTGCTATACGAGAATAAATGTAAAAGAAATAAAAATTGTCACACTTCATGCATTTTTCTATGACATAAAAATAATTGGATCATTAAAGTTTATATTAATTACATTTAAGTAGAACCGTAAATTTTTGAAAATCGGAAAAAGAAAAGATTTTATGTGCACGTCCTGTAACTCATTCCTTGACCAGTGAGGTTAATATATTCTTTCCTTCCTTTTTTTCTTTCTTTTTTTAATTTGTAGGTTTCCTAAGTACTGGAGACCAAGCAGCAAAAGGCAATTATGGATTACTTGACCAAATTCAAGCTCTGAGATGGATTGAAGAAAATATTGGATCATTTGGAGGAGACCCCAAAAGAGTTACTATTTTTGGATCAGGAGCTGGAGCATCTTGTGTTAGTCTCTTGACATTATCGCACTATTCAGAAGGTAACCATTCTCCATAAATAATATAATTTTAATAGTCATAAAGTAAGAATGGATTGCAAAAACAGTAGGAATTAGTTCCAGAAATTACTACAGGTAATGCTCAATTTATAATCACAATTGAGCCAAAAATTTCTGTTGTTAATTGAAACATTTTTAAGTGAATTTTACCTTATTTTACAACTTTTCTTGCCACAGTTGTTAAGTGAAATGCTACAGTTGTTAAGTTAGTAATGCAGTTGTTAAGTGAATTGACTTTGCTTATCAGAAGGTCGCTAAAAGCGATCCCATGACTCCCAAAACACTGCAACTTTCATAAATACATGCCAATTGCCAAGTGTCCCAATTTTTATCATATGATCATAGAGTTGTGCTGGGTCATAAGTAAAAAACAGTCATAATTCATTTTTTTCAGTGTGTCTATAACTTCTAATAGTCAAAAATGGTTGAAAGTCAAGGACTACCTGTAGGATATCAGCATCTTAGGAATTAGTATTATATCAATTGTACTAGGTTTTCAGTTCCAATTTTTAAAATAAAAACAGATAGCTTTTATGTAATACTAGACACACATGGCCTGATTGGTCATTGTTTCAGAGACATTTCCTTATCTAAACAAAGAAACAGAATGACCAAGGATGGACAAAAAAAAAAAAAAAGCAGTGGGAGCAGAAGCAACCTATAGTAATGAAGCAGCCGTAACCTTTCCAAATTTCATTCCCACGGGAGTCATGGGTCACAGATTTTGAATGCATTTTGCAAGTTAGTTCATTTGAGGTCCCTTGGCTCAAAAATTGTTGCCCTATGATGCACTATTTGCCCAGTTAAAGGTCATGATAATAAGTGTTTTTGTAATATATGGATTAAATCAATAAACTAATCAGGACCAAATGATCTTCATAATTACTAAGTAATTATGTCACATAGTAAAATTCCATTTTAAAAAATACAGCATCCAAAAATCTTTTACCACAATTAGATTGGTCAACCATGCATATTGCAAAAGAAAAAAGAAGATATAAATTTGTGCTAGACTGCACAATATTCTATTGAAATATTCTACTCCACTATTCTGTTTGAAATTGAGTTGATTGAATCACCCCTTTGAATAAAATCTTCAGACTCGATTGTCAAATCAGTTCTCTGTTTTGAAGTAACTTATGTATAAGAGATTTTGTGAAGTTTAGCAAAGCCCAGATATAAATGTCAAAAGCATTACAGGGTTTTTTAAAAAAAATAAATAAAAAAGTTATTGTTGCCAGATAACAATTGCTATCAACATGTATCTATGTTAGGCAGAGACAGTAACATCTGGCTCCATAGATGGACTCGGTGAAAATTGGAATCAATTATTTCGATGTACTGTACATTTCAGAAATAATTTCACCTCCTAGATATTCACATTGGATTTTTCATTTTTTTATATAATGAACATTGAATATGAGAGGAAATACAGCTACCATTTGGCAAGAGGACTGCAATAATGTTGTGCTGTCGTTGTTCTAAGCAAACTTAATTGTGCTTTCTCTTAATCAGTCCTTCTTGATATCATAAATATTCCTTTTGCTTTGTCAATTGTGTGTATGTGTGTTTTGTTTTTTTTAATTTTCACTTTTGCACCTGCAGGTCTATTCCAAAAAGCAATCATACAAAGTGGAACAGCCCTGTCCAGCTGGGCAGTGAATTACCAGCCTGCCAAGTACACTGCAATTTTGGCAGAAAAAGTAGGCTGCAACACTTTGGATACTACAGACTTAGTTGAATGCTTTCGGAACAAGAACTACAAAGAACTCATTCAGCAAACAATCACACCAGCTACATACCACATTGCCTTTGGGCCTGTGATTGATGGGGATGTAATTCCAGATGATCCACAGATTCTAATGGAACAGGGAGAATTTCTCAACTATGATATAATGCTAGGTGTAAACCAAGGAGAAGGTTTAAAATTTGTAGATGGAATTGTGGATAATGAAGAAGGCATATCTCCGAATGATTTTGATTTCTCCGTATCTAATTTTGTGGACAATCTATATGGTTATCCAGAAGGGAAAGATACTCTAAGAGAAACCATTAAATTCATGTACACAGATTGGGCAGACAAGGAGAATCCTGAAACACGAAGGAAGACCCTGGTAGCACTTTTTACTGACCACCAGTGGGTTGCACCAGCTGTTGCCACAGCAGACCTCCATGCTCAATATGGTTCTCCAACATACTTCTATGCATTTTATCACCATTGCCAAAGTGAAATGAAACCCAGTTGGGCTGATTCTGCACATGGTGATGAAGTTCCTTATGTATTTGGTATCCCCATGATCGGTCCTACTGAATTATTCAACTGCAACTTTTCAAAGAATGATGTCATGCTTAGTGCGGTTGTTATGACCTATTGGACAAACTTCGCCAAAACAGGGTAGGATGACACCTAACATTTTAAGCATATCATTCCTTTATAATGATATAATTATAATGATAACATCTTCTCTTTTGATATTCTTATAAAAGCCTTCTCATTGGACCTGCCCTTGTTTCACAGTGGGCACCCTTCTATAGAAGGAAAGCAGTATTTTCCAAATATAATGTTCAAGCAAGGCTAGCTTAAAAGAACATATTGTAGATTTTTGGGACTATGACCTCTATATATGTAAAAGGATTAGCATTCATTATTCTGTCTTTTTACAAATTATTCTGAATAGCTTTCAGGACCTTGGAAGGTATAGTCCACACATGTATACAATCAAATTTAATCCTCTTTATTGAAAATAGGCCTTGTCCCACTAACCCAGTTTAGAAGAGGCAAGGCAATAAAGCAAATTCACGATTCATAGGTATTATCAGGACTACAGCTCACATTTCTTGCCATCCAACTTCTGGCATTAAAAGTACATTTATTTGGAAGAATTGCAATACAAAATATAATTCAGTAATCAAGCACATTTGATTTCTGTCTACATATATTTATGGCTAAGAGATACCTTTGTCACATTAAATTGTTTCATAAATAGCAACAATGTGGTTAGTTTGTCTATTTCAGACCTGTTTTCTCACCATTTCATACTCCCATAACACTTAGGGCATAATGTATTACAAAGAAAAGGGGGAAAAAAAGATAAAATGATTTAATCAAGACTGCCACTGTGGTTTCTTTATAGAATTAATTGGTTGCCTTTTAAAATTAAAGGGTAAAAGATGTAATAGAAGTAATTATATATGTTTGTTTCTTCATATGATTAATTTTAAAATTAATATTTAGTTTCGTAAATGTGAAAGCTCCAAATATATTTTTGAAGCATATGAAAGGAACATAATGCTACAATAGGTCAGAGGAACTTACTGGTAAAGCTAACAGAAAACATTTTATATAAATATCTTAATTAATAATGCAGTATTTTCCCCTCTAGATAGCAGTGATGGTTGTTGTTTTGTTTCAGGTTTTGAAACTTTCTTTTTCGTTCTCTTTTCTTGTCTTAGTATTGAATTTTAAGAAAGGTCCTTGCAGTGCACCAAGGGCCCATAAATCTTTCCAATGAACCTTTATGGCAAATCCGAGCTTTCAGAACCGCAGCTCTACTGCAGTGCAGAAAATGGTATGCAGCAATATTGGACAGTTCAGAGAAAAACATAGTGTCCTGATTCATTCAGGAGCTTAAGTGGATTTTATAGGATTTAAGAAAGTCAGACTGGCATAGTACATATCATCACAAAAAGCAAACAATTGTTTCTGTTCCACCAAGAAACCAGAAGAGAACATATCCTTCTCTACACTAAAAAATGATATATACTTCTTCTTCCTTGACTGCTAAATTTAAACAGCATTCTTACATTTTAGATGGATGGGAAAATGGATATATGGATGAATGGACAGATAGATTAATCCCACTTTGGCCTCCAACCATTTTTCCCATAAAAATAATATATGGAGATATTACATTTTTTCAGAATCTGCTGAATTTGACTGGCTGCTTCCACCTAGCACAGAAGGGATACCAACTGTGCTTGTAGAATGTGTATAATTACTTGAGTTAGAACAAAGTGAGTGTTTTTCCAAAAGAAATAGAATTCTTTCTTTAGAAACATATACACTGTTTACATATTTTTAAAGCAAAATACATAGATTAAATGAATTGTCTTATGCAGGTAGCTCTCAGCCTATGACCACAATTGAGGCCAAAATTTATGTTGCTAAGCAAAACTTTTGTTAAGTGAATTTTGCCTCATTGTATGACCTTCCTTGTCACAGTTGTTAAGTGAATCACTGCAGATGTTAAGTTAGTTACATGATTGTTAAGTGAATCTGGCTTCCCCATTTACTTTGCTTATCAGAAGGTCACAAAAGGTGATCACATGACCTGGAGACAGTGTGATATCATAAATACATGTCAGTTGCCAAGCATCTGAATTTTGATCATGTGACTATAGGAACAGTCGTAAATGTGAAAAACAGTCATAAGTCAGTGTTTGCAGTGCTGTTGTAACTTCAAACGATTACTAAATGAACTTTTGTAAGTGGAGAACTACCTGTAGTGAGTAACTCAGATATAAGCATGATGAGTTACTTTTGAATGCTAGGAGATCTTACTTAAAAGGAAAAAATTATTAAGTTAATATAAAATATTACTAAGATTAAATTATAGTTTTAATAGTAGTAAACAATAAAAAACCTTGGGAGAATTTTATGGTAGTTATGGATATTTCAAACCACAAGTACATTTTACATATACAGAAGAAAGAGAGAGGAGGAAGAGAGAACGAGAACACTCAAGGCAATTCAATGTAATACATTATGCATCTTACTGCCTTATTTAAAAAGCATTTACATGTCAAGAGAAACCAGAGGAAAAAATAATAAAGCCTATAACAGAAGACAGAATGCTGCACAATAGTTGCAATGCACCAAATATATTCCACATATTTGTCCAATTTTGAAGAAGAATCTGTAATTGTTGCCTCAGCAACAGTTTAGTATTTTATAAAAAATGGGGTTTTTTTTATAAAATACTAATACAATACAATAAAAATTATTTTGCTTCAGTTCTTCAGAAACAGGGTGAAGCTATTGTTACTGTGGCTAATAAAAGACATCATAATGAATCCAACTGATCTACTTCATGGAATTTTCTTCAATTTATGTAGAAGAACTTAGCAGGAGAACTTTTACTGTTTCCCTTTCATCTCTTTTACTCAACTTCTAACTAAAGCTGACAGCACTTTGTATCTAAGTGAAATCATTCAAACATACTAAGAGTTCTATCTTGTTTCCAGAATGCATTTTCAGTTCCTATTACAAGCTGCTTCTTAAGTAAACAAGATGGGGAAACCCCAATGTAAGAACTTTCAAGACATCCCTAACAATGATAGAGCCACAAGTTGAAGTTGAAATATTCCTTCCTCTCTTTGGGAAAAAGATAGAAACTTTGGTATCAGAGGGAATGTTTTGTTACCTTTAAATTTTGGCCCACCCATTTGTATCAACCCTTTGTCTTTCTCTCTGAGAGGAAGAACTTGATTTGAGCAAGAGCCATTTTGTCCAGCTGAAGCTGAATTAAATTCTAGGGATTAATCAAAATGCCAAAATCCACGACTATTTTATAGCAAAACCTTGCTATATAGCAAAATTAGTATTATGCATTTGTGTGTGTGCTTGTTAGGTAGTAGGTTGGCAGATAGATGCCATTTCTTTATTTATTGTGTATAGTCAAAATATGGAAATCAAAGCAAGGAACTTGAAACCTGTTTAACAATTAATAAAAACCGTACAAAACCCTTTTATATTGAGCAGAGAGACCACTGTAAAAATATTTAGGATGGTATGAGAATATCCCATCCATGTTTCTCATAACTGTTTTTGTCTATGAATATGTAAACCAAGCACTTTTTATATCACATCATCCATACTTTCTACTGGATCCAATTAAAGTAGAGAGTGATAGTCCATAGTGGCGAGTTCAGAAGGTAGAATGTGATTTATATATCTACCAGAAATCTAAAAACCTAGATCTAAAAATCTATAAATCTAAAACAGAAATTCACATACACTGCATTTTTTTTCTCAACATGAAATCCCACTGGCAAAATCTAATACAGATAGATATCTACAATGTACAATCCAATTTCAGAAGGGTAACTGAATGGAAAATGTACAATGTAGCCTGAATAATTTCAAATGAAGTTATATTTACATTGTTGGTGATTTGCATTATAGCAAGTTTGATACCTTTGCTTGAAACAGTTCGTTGCAGAAATATAGTTGTAGCTTTTATACCAATTATACTTGCAGGTCTAATTATTAACATTGGAAACATGTTCTGTTTCAGTAGCCATTAATACAAATTACTGCTGTTCCAACAAAAGCAGTAGTGAACATAGCAAAAAAAGACTTGATACTTATTATGATTTGCCTTAACAGCCCTCTATAATTAAAATGAAACTCCATGGGGTGGAACTAGTTTTCCTATGACAAGGAAATGAATGATGACTACTGTATGTATAGAGAAGATAGAAAAAAAATCAAAATTCTTAGTTCTTACAGAGAGATATACAACTTTCAAGATTTGACATTTTTAGCCTTTTTTTTAAAAAAAAAAAAGATTTCTGTGTTCATAGGTAGTTGATGTAAGCCATAGTAATAACTGAATGAGTTTACCTTTAAAAATGTACTTGAAGCTTCATTTAGTATAGACTGGATACTTATCAGTAGTTATTGTTGGGAGCATATTATACCTGTACTGTGAGCCCTGTATTAGCTGCCTGTTAGCTTCTATGTAAAATTTAAATTGCTGATGTTAATGCTTTATGGCTTAGTGCCAAGCTATCTAGAGAGATGCATCTTCCATTGGCCCACCTGTTACAATCATGTTTAGGAGAAGCAGCAAATAGTTCTCCACTTTCAAGAGGTCGTGGAGAGTTTTCAGAAGTAATGTTTTTCAGTGGCAGTTCTGGCCCTTTGGAATGACCTCTTCCATGAGGAGGTGGATATGCCATCTTCTGGAATACGTTGCAAACTGGGCTCTTTCAGAGAGAACATTTAAATCATGATATCTCCTTGACATTATGTGTTTTATGATTATTTGTAAACATATTTTTAATTGGATGCATGAGAATCTGTTAGATTGTGATGAGATAAGAAATAATTTTGAGGAAACATACCACTCAACCTCATGAAATAGCCCCTTTTCATACTAGTATCCCAAATCAGATTCAAGTTGCCAAGTCATGAAGTTTGTTCAGTGATGTCACAATTCATAGTTCATCCCTTTATGTAGGAGAAAGGATGGCAAAACCTGGGGTGGAGTAAAAAGGGGAAACGGCCTAGAATCCCTACATACCCATAAAGAAACTAAGTCCAATTTCTTTTGAGTGTTGTTTAACCTTATCTAACTCTAAGCAGGTGCATAAGCTTTTACCAATAAATTAGTTTAATTGAGCCTTCAGTGTAGACCTGGTCTTTCACACCTGACACTTTATCCACTTTCTGAATGCCTGTGTCCATGCCTATTATTGAAATCTGCATTTGTGAGCTATTATTGAAAATCCCTGAAAAGTTGCCTTTTTTAAAAAAGTAACTTAGAGTATTACTTTCATATATACAAGTATTATAAAATGTATCCAGAGCATATATTTTGTGCAAGTATTCTGATCTAAACAGAGTATTAGTCATAACCTTGAAACTCAAAATATCATCAGGTAACGACTGTAAGGAAATTGACTTTAGCTTTTGTAATACTTTTGAGTATGTAAATTGATTGTTTTTAATATTATTTATTTGTATACTTTTAGGGATCCAAACCAGCCTGTTCCCCAAGATACAAAATTCATCCATACAAAGCCTAATCGTTTTGAGGAAGTTGCTTGGTCTAAATACAACCCAAAAGACCAACTTTATTTGCACATTGGTTTGAAACCCAGAGTTCGAGATCACTACCGAGCAACAAAAGTCGCTTTCTGGTTAGAACTTGTACCACACTTGCACAATTTGAATGAAATATTTCAGTATGTTTCCACTACAACTAAGGTGCCACCGCCTGATATGACATCGTTCCCTTATGTTACCCGACGTTCTCCTGGGAAATTTACCACCAAACGCCCGTTAATGACTCCAAGCAACAATCCAAAGCATTCAAAAGATACCCAGAAAACCTCTCCAGAGGATACAAGTGTTCTGATAGAAAACAAGAGAGATTATTCTACAGAGCTAAGCGTTACTATTGCTGTAGGAGCATCATTATTATTCCTCAACATTTTGGCATTTGCGGCTTTGTACTATAAGAAAGACAAGCGACGTCATGAGACACACAGACGCCCCAGTCCCCAAAGGAACACAACCAATGATATTGCCCATATACAGAATGAAGAAATTATGTCACTGCAGATGAAACAGCTGGAGCATGATCATGACTGTGAGTCACTACAAGCTCATGATACCCTGAGACTCACCTGTCCACCTGATTACACCCTGACTCTTAGAAGATCTCCAGATGATATTCCACTCATGACACCCAATACCATAACCATGATTCCAAATACATTAACAGGAATGCAACCTTTGCATACTTTCAACACTTTCAGTGGAGGACAGAACAGTACTAATTTGCCTCATGGACATTCCACCACTAGAGTATAGCTCAGTCATGCACCCATCACATATCACCCGGAAGATTAACCATAAGAAAAAAAGGGGGGAAATTCATATTCTCCATCAAGAAATTTTGTGGAAATGAAAAGTTAAAAGGTGAAAGAGCAGAACAGTCATAATTTTCTTCAGATCCTTTCCATAGGAACTCTGATATTCAAGAAAGATCACCCTCTCAAACCCTGTGAAATGTGAAATGTGTACATTGCTATTAGGATTCCGCTTTAATATCTCAACCACTTTGATTGAAAATAAGAGTTGAGGCCTGAAGAAAGTCTCCTAGAAAAGGATATATATTGAGTGTAACAAACAGAAACAGAACTTTTGAAACACAGAGCCAGTGACTGTATAGGGTTTCTTCTTCTTCTTCTTTTTTTCTTTGAATAAATAAAATTTAAAAAAAAAAGATGTTCTATATGTGCCATACCATGAATGGCCCTTGTTATACAAAAGACGTCATCATGGGCTTTTACCCATCCTAAGAAGCTGTAATCCAGAATGGGGAAATAAGATTTTATTATTATTAAAAAAAACCTAGGACTGACTATGCAGTAAATATGTATAGTTCTGTGCAAAGAGATGACTTGCCAGCCTGAACTATATTTAAGGAACTTTGTATAAAAACAAAAAGTGTACATAGCTGTGAGTTTTAAAAAAGAAGCTTTTATTGATGTTTTCAGTTTGAAAAAAGCTTTTAGAAAGATTGTGCTTTCAGTTGTGATCTATGTGTATAAGCATTAATCATACCACCTATGTTTCCTCCCAGACCTAAAGGAGGGTGTTCTTCTTAATTACTACTGATGATCCAAACATGAAAGTTTTTTCCTAATATTTCATTTCTGGGAAAACATGTTGTATCATACAAAGGACACAGATGACTGTGTGGCCTGCTAGATTTTCCTTTACAGGCTGAATAGATGCATGTTAAGGCATCCATAGATAGGAAACAGGATTTTATTTTTCCTTCCTTAAAGGAAAGAAACCTCTCCTGCTACCCCACCCCACCCCACCCCACCATTTCCTTCCTCTTTGTGTTAGCGTCCGTTATATTGCAACACAGCGACAAATTGGAAGAATTTCAACAAGCTTGTTCAGTTGATCTAGGAACTTTGTTGTTGGTATCCTATGTACCATGAATCTTTGCTTCTTTCAGACAGCCTACTTTCTAAAGCAGGTTTTTTTTTTCTTTGATAAGATTCTGCCTGCTCTAATGGGTAGCAGAAAAGGTTATGCAAAGAAGGGAAATTGCTATAGCTATGTTGAACAGGGAGATCACACAAGTTAGACAAAGGGCGATATTATTTTCCCATTAATTAAGTTCTTACTGGATCAGTAGCGAAAACTTTTGACCTATTTTAATCAAGCTTAAGCTTGATACCATGGAAAGCAAGTGAGAAACCATATTAATGTATAATGGGTGAGTTGTTTTGAAGAAGTTGGATCATTTCATAATTCATCATTATTAATTCTATAAGAAAATATTATTATTCACATCATCTACAAATGCAGGGAAGTGTGATGCGAAATGCAGCTGTTCCAACAATATACCTGGCATCTCTGTATAGAGTTGAAAAACAATTCTAAAGAAAATCAATCAAAATAAATCAGACATCATAAAAGTAGAAATTGTTATTAGTGAGTTACAAATGGTTTATAAAGGTAGAAACCAAAGATATTTGAACAGAGTTGCTCTGCACAAGATCACATCTTTCCTGGGGTGTACATTCTATTTTTTCTCTTTTATTGAGGAAGGCACAATACTGCTATACTATCATCTTTGTAATAATAAATATAAATGTGATGTGATGTCACATAATGTAACACAGGATGCCTTCTGCTTTAAAATAGATAGTTTGAGCTATTCTAACTTATAGCTACTTTGATGTTTTGCTGGGTATGGAGTATGGAATATATGTACAGCTTCATGCTGATTCTGAGAGAGAAAACAGGTTCCTAGAGTAGCAAACAACTGCTGGAGATCCAATAGAATTGTTAACATGATCTTCCATCTTAGAAAATGAAATTAGTACATTCTTTCCTTTTCTTTCCAGGTAAAATTTTAACAGTTCCAATTTTTACCCAACAGTCAAAGGAAGTCAATGCATTCCTTGATTTTTTTAAAATGTAATTGTAATGTATTTATTTTGTTAGTTTTATATTTCACTTTCCCTCTAGGAGCTCATGGCAGAATACATAACATTCCCTCCTCCAGCTTTTCCCCATGAAAACAACCCTGTGAAATTGATTGGTCTTAAAAGTAGAGATTGGCACAAAGTCACCTAGTGAGCTTTCCTAGCTGAAAGCAGACTAGAAATTGGGTCTTCTCAATCCTTGCCCAGTATCTTAATCACTTCATGACACTGGCTGTCTAAAGCTAGATCTTTGCCATCATGACTAAAACATAACACTTCTTCATGACTCAGTGGGGAATAATAAGGAAAACGATGGCATCTTATTCAGATGGGTATGTTTGTTATGTGAATTATGGTATTTGTTTAGTACTTCCAGTTGTTTTCTGCTAGCAATATGTACAGTAATGTGTCAGGCTTGTGACATTTGGATAAAACCATTTCTGTAAGTGAATGATTTTAGCTTTTAAAAATCAATGAAGATGATGTCACTTTAATAATTTAATACATCAGGACAGATGTATGATTTATAAATGGAAATTTTTAGGCTCTTCAAAGGATTGTATAATAATAACAACAAAAGATACTTTAAAGAATAGAAAAAAAAATCCCAGACTTTTCTTCTTAACCTTAAGAGGCACGCAGGGTTTCTTTTGTTATTATTTCTTCATTTTTTTCTTTTTGGTTTGCCTTAAGTAAGGACAGAAGATATATATGGCTGGACACATATGTATAAACTTTTCAGCAGCATTTTTAATAATAAAATATCACAGTATTTTCTAATGCTTTGTGCAAAGAATTACGTGTTTATCATTTTTGTAAAACTATCATTTTGAAAATCTCTTGTGTGAGCGTGCACATGTATGTGAGCATATGGATGTAATATGTAGTCCATAATGAGCCTTGTCAACACTTGAAAAGTGTTGAAATGATAAACCTAGATAAGTGTTGAAATGATAACCTTGATAAAGATAAATACTGTAACCAATCTTGCTAAGAGTTTGCAGATAACTTTATGGAATGCCAGTTGCTGACATTCGAACCACTGAATACAACAAATACTATCTATAATTAATGAATTTTCCTTTCCTAGCAGAAGGTAGACTAGAAGTTGGGCCTTCTCAGTCCTTGCCTAGTATTTTACAGATTAATATAGTTGGAAGGTCATCTAGTCCAACACCCACCCCACCCCACCCAAGCAGACCCTACACCATTTTTGACAGATGGCAATCCAGTCTCTTCTTGAAAGCTTCCAGTGATGAAGCTCCCACAATTTCTGGAGGCAAGCTATTCCCTTGGTTGATTGTTCTCACTGTCAGAAAATGTCTCCTTATTTCCAGGTTGAATCTCTCCTTGTTCACTTTCCATCCATTATTCCTTGTCTGGCCTTCAGGTGTTTTGGTAAATAGTTTGACCCTCTCCTCTCCTCCTCTTAATCACTTTGTGACATTGGCTGTCTAAAGCTGGATCTTTGCCATCATGACTAAAACATAACACTTCATTTTTTTTTAAAAAAAATTGATTTATATGCCGCCCTTCTCCGGAGACTCAGGGCGGCTTACAGTGCGTTAAGCAATAGCCTTCATACTTTTGTATATTTATACAAAGTCAGCTTATTTCCCCCACAAACTGGGTTCTCAATTTACCTACCTTAGAAAGGATGGAAGGCTGAGTCACCTTGAGCCTGGTGAGATTCGATCTTACTTTAATTGCAGACAGCTGGTGTTAAATTACAGTGCTTCTGTCTGTCGAGCTAAACCAGGCTCTATTATTTTCCTTAGTTACAGTCTGTCATGTGAAAAGGGATACCCATACTAAATATTTGTTAACCAGAATGCTAGCCCTCACCAGGTTAAGGTAGTAATGACCTTACAATTAAACATAATAATTAATTCAAATGAAAACTTCTTGAATCTCTTGAACCAATAATTTTCTTAGTCTTATTTTTGATATTTAATTACTAGGCTATAATATGCAACTTTATATAAATATATGAAAACCATATACCAATTGGTTTCTTTCTACTCCATTTTCAGTTCCATTATTTCAACCCCCTTCAATCTTACTGAAAAACCTCAAAGACTGATCACATGCAAAGAATGTGTTCTACCATAGAGTACAATGAGATGCTATAGAAGAGCCTATAGAAGAGTCTAAAAGCCATGGGACTTCATATAACAAACTAATTTCAGGCAGAGTTCCACAGTTAATAAGTTTTCTGCATATATCACTAGGTCTGCAAAGTTGGATATTCAATGAGTATTTTTTTTTATTTTTTTTTTTATTTTTATATGCTGCCCTTCTCCGGAGACTCAGGGCAGCTTACAATGCGTTAAGCAATAGCCTTCATACTTTTGTATATTTTATACAAAGCTTATTGCCCCCACAAACCGGGTCCTCATTTTACCCACCTTAGAAAGGATGGAAGGCTGAGTCGACCTTGAGTTTGGTGATAATTGAACTCACAGTAATTGCAGGTAGCTGGATGTTAAATGCTGCCTTAGTAGGAGGCATTGGCCTCCTACGCCACTCAGGCGTAGGAGGTGTATGTACAAATGATACTAATGGTACTAAATGGTACTGTGGTGTATGTACAAATTATACTAATTATTATTTCTTAGAAAAGCATATATGAAATATAAAATATGACTGAAACGTTCTTTCCTTTTGGGAGAGCAACTGGATCTAAAGGAAGCAATCAGAAAACTATTTCTTTGAATTAAGAATTTTTAATTTAATAATGATTAACTTATTTTGAAAATTCTGATCTTTTTCTATGTATATACTAGCTGTACCCGGCCACGCGTTGCTGTGGCCCAGTCTGGTGCTTCTGCTGGGCTAAAAGAGCGAGGCTGAAGTTCCAAACTTTCCACGAACATTTGGTGGGCGTGGCCAACTCGACGTCACTCACTTTCATCAGTCACATGACAGCCCCAGAGCCATGCCTACCCAGCTGGTAATTAGGGCAGAGAACTGGTTGCTAAAAAAACAATGGGAACCACAAAATCCTCCCTCTCTGTCTCCCCCTCTCTCTTTGTATCTCTCTATGTCTCTCTCTCTCCCCCATCTGTATCTCTCCCCCCTCTGTATCTCTCTGTGTGTCTCTCTTTCCCCCTCTTTCTGTAGCTCTATGTCTCTCTCTCTCCCCTCTCTGTATCTCTGTATCTCTCTCTCTCCCCCTCTGTATCTCTCTATGTCTCTCTCTCCCCCCTGTATCTCTCTATGTCTCTCTCTCCCCCCCCCTCTGTATCTCTGTGTCTCTCTCTCCCCCTCTCTCTGTATCTCTATGTCTCTCTCTCCCCCCTCTGTATCTCTCTCTGTATCTCTGTATGTGTCTCTCTCTCCCCCCTCATCTCTCTGTATTTTTCTATGTCTCCCTCTCCCTCTCTCTCTGTTTATCTCTGTCTCTGGCCTGGCCTCTTCTGCATCCCCCACCATCACCCTGACCTTTTCAGGCCAGGCCTTCGCAGCTCTCCGCACCACAGCAGAAACTCGGGCCCCCCTCTGTCCTCCCTACACAGATGTTCTCTGGGGGCTTGATGGGGAGACGCATAGCAGGGAAGGGAGGGAGGGGGTGTGGTGGGGGTTCGAAGCTGGCTTGGGGCTTCCTGCCCGAAGGAAGAAAGCGGCAAAGCCAGGAGCCACGCACACCCCACTGGACCCCTGCTGCACAGTTCTCCCCCCTTGCCTGCCAAGGGCAGGGGAATGATTAAATCCCCCGCTCTTCCAGGCAAAACGAAGAAGGGCCGGCCATCCTCCCTCCTGCCCGTTTCCGCCCCCCGAAGCCTCCCCAGAGCCCCTTTTCTGCCAGAAGCCGAAATTTTCATGTAGGCTCCGTGAACTGCCAGAGCGCCCACCTGGGAATCAAAGGCAGCGCTGGTCAAAGGCGACCCCAAAGCTCCAGTTGCCTCCAACTCCCGCTCACTGACCGGATTCGCATAGCGCCGGTTAGCGGCTGGTCTTTCTGACCTCGGGGCCCGTGATAGCGCTGGGCCAGGAACGATTTGGGCCAGGCGAGGGATGGAGGGTTCCCGCTCAGCGGACCCAGGCAGCCTCATTGCCAGGTGTTCTTTGGAGGGAGCCCCGAGAGCGGCTGGCAAGGGGGATGGGCAGCAGCAGCGGGCGAATCTAGTTCGTGGAGTGGCTGGGGGAGGGGGAGGTCAGAGCCAGGCTTGGGTGGACCCTGGCCAGCCCTAGAAGTGCCAGCTGCGAGGGCTTCCTGGCGGGGAGCCGGCTGCCTACCTGCCAAGCCTGGTGGCAGGATATGGCCCTCGGGTGTCTCTGCCTTCCAAATGTGCAGTTTCTTGGAAGCAATATGGAGAGTCTAAATATAAGGAGCAGAAATCTGTTGAGCGTAATCAGGGCTGGGAGGCTGCCATGTTGGTTTTACATCCAGCAGATGGCGCTGTTTTTCAATGTTTTTCAATGTTTGTCAATGTCTTTCAATGTTTTCCAATGTTTTTCATGTTTTTACCTGTCACAGGTGTGACATGTATATAATATAGATATATAGAAACATGCCCGTAGTCGAATACAATGTTGTGTCAAAATTTGAAAGCAATTGGTGAAGAACTTTCGGAGATGTGCGGTTATGTACAAACGGACATTTACATTTTTATTTATATAGATAGAGGGTTTTTTTTGCTGTGCATGTCTGATCTTCAGAGGTAAATCTCTGGGTCAGAGGTACACATATTACATATTTTGTTGCTATGCAATTCACAACATTGTATATGAACGTGTGGGCTTTTGCGCATGTTTAGGAAAGTACTTTTATTCTTGATAGTCATTTTCAGGCTGGATTAATTAATAAGTTATAAGGCAACTTTTTTTAAAAAAAAAAAATACACATCTAACCAAATATACGAGTAGTGGTAATTTTACACCAAATTTTTTCTTACACAAATTTTATAGTTGGGCACACTGTAAAAACAAACCAAAATTTCACTGTATTTTCTGAGATAAATCTTTGAATTAAATTTATATGCCAAATTTACTATGGGAAAAACAGTACCTCATGTAGTCATAGGGTAATACAAAATTAAGCTCAGACCCACATGATTTTTAAAAAAATCTGTTAAAATGTACTTAGTAACTTTCAAGTTTCATAATTATATATGTGTGTGTGTGTACACGCATGTATGTATGTTTACCCACACACACACACACACATATAGTTTAAAAAGCAATAATAGGCTCAAAAACTAATATGTAACAACTTCTGGGGAGGCATGGTTAACTAAACATATTTCTGAAAGAGTAGAGATGGTGACCACTGCAAAGAGCAGGAAGTAGGACAAGAAGAGCACAGGAAAATAACCACATGTCCTCTGGATGGTTGATGCCCACAAGAAAACTGCAAGACAGCAATCTCCCATGCACTTCAGGGCCAGGAGATGAAGGGAAACCATTGCATTCTCAACTATGGCAGAGCCTCTTTAAGGACACTTGAGTTCATTAATCTCACTTATTAGGGGATGAAATTGCTTATCTAACTATTCTAAGGCTATTCAAGTTCTTTAGAACAAGAAGTTTTAGTTTACCTTCTTTCTTGAACAAAAGATAAAAACTCTTAATTAGCCTACCAATAAATTATAATGCTTGTAAATTTATTTGATAGACATCAATGAACTTTAGTATCATTAAAAAAAGCAATATTTCTACCTTATGTTACATTCAAACAGTATGGTCAAAAGTTCTCTGATCTTTTATATAAAAAACAATTACAGTTCAGAAAGACATATTTTTACTCTTAAATACAGAGCATGTACTCATACTGTGTTTCCCCCAAAATAAGACCTGGTCTTATATTTTTTGACTCCAAAATAAGCACTAGGGCTTATTTTCACAATTTCAGGGTGATCAGCTAGGTGGCCCACACCCTGGCATGCGCACAAAAGGTGGTGCCGGGGCTGACGGTGTCCAGCAGCTGCAGTCCATGCAGCACAGGTGAGTTGATTACCTATCCAAGCAGCAGATGGCAGAAGCATGG